ATTGATTTTTCTTTTTCTTTTCCTTTTTTCTCAATTAGTGTTTTTTTTTCTTCCTTCTTGCATCCTATTTGTATCTATACCAGTAATCGATAAATATATACGCCCACGCAAAATAAACTACTTAAATATTACATTTCTTTTAACTATTCTTTTATTATTCACTCTGAACGAAAGAGAATATAAGCACATTTTGAAATAAAGTAAGTTGATACATATGTAGTCGTCTATTTGCAATTTGATCCTTCCGTTACTTTAATAGATTTTTTTAACATTCGATAGTGAGCATGATGATGTACTTTGACAAAAAGAAACTTGAATGAATTTTGTTTGAGCGAAGGCGTGTGCGTCATGACTTTGGAGGAGTGTGATGTCATTTGAAAGAGACGACGGTGATCGTTGCTAGGATGTGAGCCACTGACGTCAGGCATGTTGCTAATCTTCGCATGTTTGTTTATATTCTGTCAGCATTTAGAGGAGTTTTTTCTTCTCGTTCTGCCTAGATTCTTGAATAATGGGGGTGCTGTACGGCAATATAAACATATGCTTTTATTAGTGTTTACAGTTGTGATGGTGATGAAATACGTATTGAATTGTGATTGAGTAGAATATAAAAAAGAGTATTATTTTTTTGTTCGTCAGTCATTTTTTTTTGACTACATCTAGTTTTTTTTCAGATGTCAGCTGTGAAAAATTCCGAAAAAACTCATATAAAAAAAGAACCTAGAGTAATATAAGATATTTCTTCTGTTTTTAAATCTTCTTTAACAATAATTTTTTATCTTAGGATTTATCTCGAAGGCATACTAATGAAGACTTTGAAGAAACACCGACATGGGCTGCTGTTATAACAGTTCTGGGCTATGCATTACTTAGTGCAGTTGGATGGCTACGTGATTTTCTTCGTAATATTGGTATAGAAAAAAAAACGACTGCTCAAGATCCAAATCCAAAAGTATTTTGTATTTTTTTCATAGAATAATTTATGATTACTTATTTTCTTTAAAAACAAAACAGGATTTTGTTCCACTTTATCAAAGTTATGAGTGTTTTTATACACGAAATTTATATACACGCATACGTGATGTATTTAATCAACCTATTGCTAGTGTTGCTGGAGCTACAGTTGAAGTTATGGAACGTCTTTCAGAAGATTTTAATTGGACATTTAAGTAAAAGAAAAAGAAACAATGTTTTAAATCGAAGTATAAATATTCTTTTTTTTGTTTATAATATAGATTTAGTGGTAAAAAGTTACCATCAATCAATTTAGGTTCATATAATTATTTGGGTTTTGCGGAAACTTCTGGTCCTTGTTCTGAACAAGCTATAAAATCTATTGAAAAATATGGTGTTACAATATGTAGTACACGTCATGAATTAGGTACACAACAATATATGAAAGATCTTGAATCGTTAATGGCTGAATATTTAAATGTCGAAGATTGTATCGCTTTTGGTATGGGTTTTGCTACCAATGCATTAAATATTCCTGCAGTTGCGGGAAAAGTAAAATTAAAATTTTTGTTTTATTTGAAAATTAAAATAGATTTATTTTTTACTAATAGGGTGATTTAATACTTAGCGATAAACTTAATCATACTTCACTTATACTTGGTGCTCGTCTGTCTGGAGCAGTTATTCGTACATTTAATCATAATGGTAAATACATAATTCAGTTTAAAAAAAGGTTGCAATTGACGTTTAAAATAGAATAAAAATTTCGCACACTGAGTTACCTTGTTTCACGCAAGATTAGCATATGATACGAATTAATTCTTTTTTCTTTTCTACTACTTCCTGTTACAAGTCTAGTTGGTATAGTGGCAGAGAAAAAAAACGGATGATAACAAGGTTTCTTAATTTTGCAATATAGTTGTCTTTGACAAAAATTTATTAGATACTTCAAATTATGATATTCAATTCGTGAATGGTTATCATTAGCTGTACTCAGACTTAGTTCCATCTAATTGTTGAATTTTAAATAAACCATTCATCCTAATTGAGTTTCATGATCTGTGCAAAATTTTCTTCATTGTCGGTTTATGAGTATTAAGAATTTGGTTTAAGGAAACCTCCATTTTGCAGAATCTTAGGAGAACAACTCATGAGAAAAATTTGAAACTTGTAGGGCTGGCAAATCTGAAGGAGTAGAGCAAGAGCTGTCATAGACTCAAAGTTCTCAGATGTTGTCGTTTATGAGATACTGGGATCATAGTGGTGAAAAATAGCTCCCCCTTATCTCCAAGATGCTATGCTCGATCGAGTTGAAAACTTTATCCTAGGCACTAGATACCGCTTGGAGTTAGTTTTTTGCCCTTAGAATAAAAAAGTCAAAATATCGAAGTTGCCCTGAAAAACGCATGATTTTTTTAGCAGAGCTTTTTTGAGAATTATAAAAAGTCAGCAGAACAATATTTTTTGAAACAAAAGGAAACGAATACCCATCCCAAACAGTGTATAGTAAATGTGGAAAAAAGTTTCAACTCGATCGAACATACTAGGTCGGAGAAACTGGGGTGCTTCGGAACTTTATTGTATGAAAAAAGTTGATCTGAGAAGAACGTTATTCGCTATGTCTGTTACGTTAATTTAATTTTTTGACTTTTTAAGACAACTTTTGGATACTACATGAGACTATATAATGGTTACAAAAAAAAAAAATTTTGGGCTACGGAAGGGAATATCTTTAAGAAGACCCGATTTTCAGATGCTAAAATCAAAACTTTTTTCAGATTTTCGGTTTTTCAACGCTAAAATAGTTTTGAAGTGTCCTCTATCAAATGCCATGTAATTGAGTGTTCTTCGTCGTTAGTTAGTACTTCGATAAAACTTAGCTTTCGAAATCCCTAGTAGAAAAAAATGACGCTGTGATTAATCTTTGTATACAAAATTCTCCTAATGATAATATCCAAAGGTGTTGAGAGCATGGATCATGATTCTCTAACACCAATGAATATGGTTAGTTTTCGATCACTTTAGTTGAAGAAAAAAGTTCTAATGTATACAGCAAAGTTTGTTTTGAGTCTTTCTCAAATTCAAATTTTGAACAAACAAAAATCACAATTTCTCTTCTTTTCTTCCACATGATATGTCCGATCAAGCTCAAATTGGGATGTGTGCTTTTTTTTCTTTAAAATGTTGTTTCTAAGAGATTTGGCAGCCTTGAAAAAATTACTACCATGGAAAAAAACACATTTTGCACGGTTCTTCCAGTACTTTACTTCTGCCGAGCTCTAAAAACGAGATATTTTTGAAAGAAAAAAGAAACATACGGGAGATTTTTAAGCTTTGCGACCCATTTGACTCTCGAAAGGAAGCATCTGGAAACTGCGAGTCTACGACAAATTTTGCCTTACTTATTAAGATCTATTTGCCTTGAAACTGTCATCATTTTTCGTCCAGGTGTTCCAAAGAAACCCTGGAAATGGGGCGAATCTTCTCAAGATGGTTATTCCGTTTTGAAAATGCTGAATATGTATCTGGAAAAAAGAAAAACGAGTCTAACCTGAATTTTGTTGTTTATGCTTTTTTTTGTTGCACTATGCCTTACTGAAATGTATCGTATAAGCCTACAGATTGGAACATATTCAACATTTTTGAAACTTTTCTTGTGAAATAAACATATATTTTTTTATTACAGATATAAAAGATTTGGAAATTCAATTACGTAAATCTATTATTCACGGTCAATCACGAACATGTCGACCGTGGAAAAAAATTTTGATTATTGTCGAAGGTGTATATAGGTAAAAATATAATACGAATCATTTTATTTTTCTCACATTTAAAATCAATTTTCGTTTCTAGTATGGAAGGCTCCTTGTGTAGCTTACCGGAAATAATTGAATTGAAGAAAAAATATAAAGCTTATTTATATGTTGATGAAGCACACTCAATTGGTGCTATTGGTTCTCGTGGTCGTGGTGTTGTTGATTATTGGAATGTTAATCCCAATGATATCGATATACATATGGGAACATTTACTAAAAGTTTTGGATCAGCTGGTGGTTACATCGCTGGAAAAAAAGTATTAATTTTCATTTTTTTGAAATTTTATTTTAAATTATTTTTCTTTAGGCTTTAATTGATCATATTCGTATTTACACACATTCAGGATGTTATTCAACCAGTATGTCAGCACCTGTTGTCTATCAAATAATATCTGCATTGAATATAATTATGGGCCGTGATGGTACAAATGATGGTAAGAGATGAGTTTTTTTTTATTTGTGAAATTGATCTAATGCTATGAAATATTAGGTCAAAAACGTATTCAACAATTAGCATGTAATGTACGTTATTTTCGTCGTCAACTTGTGGATATGGGTTTTATTGTATATGGAAGTGATAATTCACCTGTAGTGCCAGTTATGATATATATGCCAGCTAAAATTGCGTAAGATTCAATTTTGCTTTTAAATTATAATTAATTACAGGTTTATTTTTCAGAGCTGTTAATCGTGAAATGTTAAAGCGTGGTTGTGCTGTTGTCACTGTTGGTTTTCCAGCTACTTTACTTACAGAATCACGTGTAAGATTTTGTATATCAGCTGGTCATACTAAAAAAATGCTTGATCATGTAAGTCGAAGAAAGAAATTCTTCATTTTAATGAATATCCTATGCTAGGCTTTACAAGCAATGGATGAAGTTGGAGATCTTGTATCATTACGATATTCCAAACGAAACCCACCACGTCGTTGGCATGAACTTAATCAAGCCGATTATGATAAAGAATATCTTTAAATATTCAGATTCTTTTTTGTTTCAGCTGAAAATTTATGATTTTGTTTGCTCATAAACAAATGATATCAGCAGATAAATTCCAAAAAAATTTTTTTTTTTTTCATCTTTTTTTGTTTTTGTATTTTTCGGATAAATCGATATACCTGTGGTAAATCAGCATTCAATAAATATTAGTAATTATTTTCTTTTCTTCTTTCTAATATATAAATAGCAATGAAAAAACAAAAAGAAAACGAGAAAAGTATTTCATTTCAAATTACATTTCACATAATTCAATTTGACAACTAACATCAGCAGTTTTGTGTTTAGTTTTTTCATCATCAGCAACATCATGATTATTTAATTCTTGTTTAAGAAGAGTTTCATTTGGTATTATTGTTGGAGATAAAAATTTTTCTTTTAGATTTGAAGTGTTGGTTTCAAATGTTCCCATCCGGCTACGACGTACAAAACGTGTTGGAATTATATCCATAAGATCAAAACAAAAATTACGATTCAATAGTGCATATAAGTATGGATTTAAACATGAATTGAAATAAGCTAATGCATGTGTAAATGCACGAATTGAATAAAGAACTTTTGGATAAGATCGAACGAGAGTATTGAGTATTGATGAATTAGCACATTTCATTAATTCCAGTACATGAATTGGTAACCAACATACAGCAAATGCTAATGTTACAACAACAACCTAAAAGAGAAAACAAGTTGAATGCTTGAATTGTTAACAACCAAGAGTTTTTTTTTCATATTAAGAATTTCGACAATCCTATGTACTTAGAATGTACTTTATAATAAAATCAAACTGATAAAAGTTAATGACGAATAATTTTCAAATAACCTAATGCGATCACATTGGGTGATATACTCATATGATGTTTTTATTCCCTTTTATGAAATAAAGGGTCTTACAAAGGAAATTAGTTTGAAAGATTTTAAATTTGTGTATGCGTCTGTCAGGCGGCAATATGAAAATACTAAAAAATATTGAAAAATATATATGTAAAATATACTGATATAGATTTATTGTTCTTGAGAATTATGACAATTGTATGATGACTACTGAAGAGAAGCTTGACAAATCAAAATCAAATATTCAGAATACACAAGAAAGATCTTCTAGACGATCAGGACGAAATGAAGCGATGGAATAAAAGTAAAAAAGATTGCGTCTTGAGATCAAAGAAGAAAAAGAAAACAAAGAAAATATGAAACAATTCAGGAAAGAGGAATGTCGTCCGAGAACTAATCGTAGATGCATGGTCAAAAGTCTTGCCTAAGAAACTAATAATGAATATAGCATTTGACTTCAACAAAATCGTGAATGTAATGCCAATAGTCGTTCGAAGAGTTATAACAAAAAATGGATAATAAATAGTGAAGCATAAGAAAATCGAATAGAAGGAAAGTCACTTATCAGGAAGGCTGGTCTCAGATTAAAAAATGTTTGAAATTGAAAATACATTTCAGAGAATTTCTTGCTTAGACAAATGGTATCCTAACATCGATGATTGTTTATCTAATAATGATCAAACAAAGATCAACCGTATAAAAATCGAAAAAGAAAGAAAATCAACCACATCGATGAATGATAAAATAAATGCATGTTGGGACAAAGTTCGAACTAGAGATGGTCACAGTTCTGTTTCGTTCACGAATCGAACTGACCAATTCGGTTCGCAACTATTCAGATCGATCTGAGCTTCTATTCGCTTCGCTTCTTAGTAAGATTTAGGCAATTAAGATCGCTGTAAAGACATTTAGAGTAAAAACAAGAAAGAGAATGCCATAAACAACAATGAATATATTTACACAATTCTGTTTCTGCATCCTGGTTGATTATAAGAAAAAAATCGAAAATAAGCTAGTAATAATTATATTTCAGCAAAGACATTAACGTATTTCAATAATAATCCAGTATATTCAGTGACAGACTGCACGCTATTATTATATGAGACGATTCAATAGAGATGAGGATCATCATCATTAAGTGACTCGAATTTCTTTGGAGGTAGTAAGAGCTGATTTTTTTAGTTTTTTTTCTACTAGAAAACAGTGATGTTGTTTCTCGATATTGAGAGATTGCCACAAACGCCCTCCTAAATATGCTATTGAATACATCAAACTCATGAGTTGTTCAATTCGAATTCGAATATAAACGAATCACAAGTTGAAACAGTCGCTTTGAAAATAAATTACAAAATCCTCGAATCAATAGAGAACTGCGTTCAAAGCCAAAGATACAACTAAGTAATTTGAATCATATTTTATAATTCACATATGGTCATCCTGTTAAGATCGCCCAAAAGTCAGAGATAAATATTATTGCGCCTCAGTTATAACTTCGGCAGGAAATATACCGTGAGTGAAGTCAAAAACATTAGAGATAAAATTTGATTTGAATTTCAATTACGATAAAGACAGTTCATGAGTTAGTACAGGATGTAGATGTCTTTTGTTCAAGCTACAGCTCTATTGGTGCCCTCCTCTTCAATGGATTCACGCGTGGAAATCGAGCATTGAACTAGGACAAAACCTTCAGTCGCATAATTCACTGTTTATTTCTGCGGCAATGTGGGACACAAAGTAGCTCCTGAAAGGGCCGCGACACATATGCATCTTTGTATAAGTAGAACTTTCGTATGAAAATATATGATGTCTCACATGAGTTTCCAGAAAACTACACGACTTTTCCCAGACAAAATTCAGCAGTAAAATAATGTTTCTCATTAATCAATACATTTTTCATCTATAAAATATAGCTTTATCCAAAGAAGGGTACAAGCGAGCTTTCTGCACGTTCGTGCTAGGAAAAGCGTCTTACCGCATCTCTCTCCATGATGATTACCTGATCAATTTCATATCACATCTGCCTCGATTTCTATGATTTTTTAGATTGCCAACTATGCCAATTACTTTCACTATTCCCTGCTTCAAAATCACCTGAAAAAAACAGTTTTCTGAACGGTGATACGTAGAAGGCATCAATTTGTATAAATCATAGTCTAAAATATTTTATGCAAATTTTATCATTTCCTTGTTTGTTCTGTTCATTCTGAAACAATGAAAATTTTCATTGTTTTCTCGTTTGGATCAAAGATCTACTGGTTGTACAAAAAGTAGGCTAGCTTGAATTATATTTTATAATTCAGAGAAAATTTATCTTAGGCTTTGTGTATTTTCATGCTTAGAAATTTTTTGAAATTTCGACTTATTTTTCAACTCAAATTAGATCGCTGGTCATCGGAATCAATAGAAAATAAATATTTCTTTCTTATCAAATATAAACAGTGCTATTCAATTCGCTTCTTGATGGCAATCGCTCAGAAAAAGACGAAGAAATAGAATTACAGATCACATAACTTTAACTACATATGGTGGACCAAAAATATTTCTTAGTTCAGTTCGGTTCGACCCCACTCGAATTTTTCTCGGTTTCAGTTCAGTTTAAAATTTAAAAACCCAAGCTGTTCTCATCTCTGCTTAGAACACGCATTCAGATAATTTCCCATGAAAATAGGAAAAATATATCGATATGTATCAATCAAATGTCCAACATCTGAAAAAGATATCAAAACCTTAGATAGGTTCATAAAAGGTACTTGGTCTATCATTAGATAGACTCTACTTGTTCTTAATTAAAATCATTTATGAACAAAGTGATATGATTTGTTTTTCATTTAAACTTCTAGATTTTTTTTAAATTCGAAAGGGATTATATTTTGACAATATGGTGCATAAACGATAAAGTGAAAAATATGAAAAGATGCAAGCAGACTAAGAACTATGATTTGCTTTAAATGTCGAGAGAAGATGTGATCAGAGACAGGAATATAAATACAATTGATCTTTGAAAGGCTCTAATGGATTGGCTGACATACATAAAAATTTGTTCTAATAAGATATTGAATCATTACAAGAGAAGTGTTTATTGTAGTATGATATACAATATCGACTAGCAGCTGACTTGAATTAATAAAGATTTAATTAGAGATGACCAATATGAATGAATTGTCATACAAGATATGATCTTCCAGAAAGACAATAATTATTACACTCGTATTTGATCGGATAAAAATCTTTACTCAAAAAGCTGTTAGCGCAGTTCCTACGAGATAAAAACGTGAAACAGGATGTGTCTGTTGTTGCTAATAAAATGAGACGGCTCTAATGCACGTGCTTTAAGGGTGGATGGAAGGGAGGGTAAACCTTAAGATATATTTTCTTCACCATCTTTTTATTTAATTCTCGAGATATGCAATAAAAAAGTGATTTATCTATTAGAACCAGACGTTGTTGATATACGATCTTTGGTCGCATATCAACAACGTCTATCACGAATTGTGACGAAAGAGAGATAATTGCTAAAGTGTTTGTCATCGTCTGTGAAGGGTCGAAATCATGGGTACAAATTCCACCTGTATACCTCAATACTCCTTTTAGATTCTCTCATAAAAAATTTGAAATTAATAATAATAATTTGTTGATCTGAGCCTTCAATTAACTAAATTTAGCTATCAAACTTAATACATTGAAACAAACATTATGAATAGCTACCGTGAAACCCCATATATGAGTGAATACCTTTCTATTGGGGACTGTGAACATTTTTTTTCTGGTCCTGTTCACAATGGAGAATCCCTTGAAGATGGATAATCTCTTAATTTTACGACATTGTCTCCAACATTCGGAAAATCCCAAAGACAAGAATTTTCGAAAGCTTACGGTGTTACAAAATCCTTTTTCTTTATGTCGACCGTTAAGATTTTCTAGATTTTTCCTTAGTATAGAGCTGTGCTTGGTAACTGCGTACTGAATGTACTATTTTTAGATGAGCGAGAAAACATTAATTAGAGATAGAAAAGATACATATGAGTGATAAGTTTAGAATTTTTAAAAACAAAGAAGTCTCCATGTATATTGGTGCTATGAATGACCATTTACAGTGACTCTGAAAAATAACTGTATATTCCATTTTCTCAAAAATGACTTTCATCTCCATACTTTCTATACTAATGGAAAGGAGACCACATTCTGAGCATAAATTAATAGTTCAAAACAAGTTACATCAATGTTTTGAAAAATGCAAGAGACAGTTACTTGTCAGAGAAATGATAAATAATAACTACTACTGAATGAGTCCAATATTAATATGCGACGTAATCTCCAATACAAAAGTAATCGAGCAAAGATCATTCAGAAAATAAGAAAAAAAAAAGTAGAACAAATGTTCATTTATCAACTTATGAAGCGACCTAAAATTCACAATTTCTTTTCAGTAAAGCATAGATAGAATTGGTTGACGTCTATCTTGACTGAAGGGTAAGAATGCACCAAATCCTAGAATGTGATGTCAAAGATGACATGCTTTTTCCTTAATAAGAATGTATTTTCTATCGATTTTTGATACCAGTTACGATGAGTTTTTTGTTCTATTCAGAGCTATAATCGAAAATCATGAAATACAAAAAAGGTTTCTATATTGGTCGAAAGCTCGCATTTTTTACTTTTTTTGACCAATTTCAACTAATTTTGAGACTTATATTTTGCATTAGACAAAATCTAAGCATATCTTTGGAAAAAGTATTAAAAACTGAACACTACTGGCATGAAAAATCTATAGAAGTCCGACTATTCTGGATACTAACAATGTCTTTTTGTAAGCAGGGTAATCAAATTCCTTGAATTTCGAATCGAAGCTTAGATTGTTTCTAGTATTGAGAATTACCGGACTCCTAGCAGCTCTTCTTGCCGAATACGGTCAGTTTTGAATGCTCTTTTCGAAGCTATTCTTAGATTTTATCTAATTTCAAAAAAGTGTGAATTTTCGATCGAGTCTGAAATCTCTGTTGTATCTTTCATGAATATTGATAACAGTGCTGGATAGAGAAAAAAACGGATCTTGCTAGAGATAAACAATCCACGGGGCTACATTTTTAATAAATAAAAACATGCCATCTTCGACATAATGCTCTAGGGTTTGACGTATTATTATTTGAAAGCATGCAAAAGAAGTTTTATCACTAACTCTTTCAAAAAGAATCATCGGAATCGGAAGCTTTCAACAAATGACAGAAGAAGTTGCCTTTGGCACACTTTCATACAACATAACCTAGAGAATACGTGTGAGATAGATTTTAGTAACTATAACAACTATTTCAACATAAAATATCGAAAACCTTCCAAAAGTGGACACTTTGAAAAAGTCCTTTGGATTTCGACTACACAGAGGTTATACTCTAATTTTATTTTACCATTCTCGTTACTTGTCTTTGTTTTGTTTTTAATGATTTCGGGACAGTTTTCTACAAGAGAAAAAATAAAATAACATTTATTATCTTCAAATAGTGAATTTTTTTTTGTTTTATTCATACAGTATTCATATGAACAGCAATAAGTCGATTTGACTGTATAACATGCATTGCCAATTTTGTATAACATACAATAATAATAAAAAGTGGTAGAGCATAATAAGAGCAAAAGATAAGAAAACAAATAGCAAAATTTTTTTGATCATTAAGACCGCATGTGCTAGAATTCGATGTAAACGTATGTAAAATTACATGATAAGGAATAATAAGTGCAAGTGAACCTAAATAAACAATTGTTTTTTTTATATTTCTAATCAATTCAAATTGTTTTATCTACTCACTAGCCCAAAGAATAATACAAATTATAAAAGCAGTTTGTGGTGTACGCCGTTGTAATTTAGAATTAGGTAAAACAATATAGAAACATCGATCAATACTCATTGCAGCTAATGTATTACAAGTAGCTAATAAAAATACCTATGATCGTAAAAGCAACAAATAAAATAAAAACTTTCTTATTTTTATTTCAGTTTATATCAACTTACATAGGCAAGATACATGTAAATTTTGCAGATAGTTTCACCAAATGGATAAGTGTTTACTAAGCCTAGATACGTAGTATATGGTATGGCAAGTGTTAAAAATAATAAATCAGCCAAAGCCAAATTAATAACATAACAATTTGTAACATTACGATATTTTTTTTTTCGAATAGCTACATAAATCACAGCTGAATTACCTGAAATAAGATATAAACCTCAAATAAGTTTATAGGTTTTTTTCATATATTTTTACATACCCAAGAAACCCAGTATAAAAATTAAACAATAAAATACGATCAAAAGATGACCAGCAAATATGATATAAATATTTTGATTCGCAGGCGACTTTTTTGTTATTGTTTCATTCAAAACCATCATTTTACTATTATTCATTTCCATTTCTTTTTCTTTTCTCAACTTCCTAAATATTTAATCCTCTTAGGTATTCATCTGTAAAAAAAAAGAAAGAAAAAATAAATCAAGCTGAAATGAATGCGAACAATAATAGATTTTGTTGCAGTAATGAATAAATATGTATGTCGTCGAGAACAAACAACGAAAATGTTCAATACGAACTACACCAGTATGACCAAGCAGTTGTGATCAACGAAAAAAAAATTGATGCATGCTTTAACAGCACGATAGTTATCTAAATTAAAAAAATAATGAATATTTTAATTGAATATAATTAGCATCTTTCTTATAATGAGCACCTGACTGTCATATATTAAAGTTGAATAAAAGGATATTTTTTTTTATGAAAGACACGTAAAAAACCCTTTTCTTAATTACTTATCCTCTAATTTGCTACAGTAATATCATTAAAATATATTTCATATTACTACTTGTAATCTAGTTATTTTTAAAATTTGATAGTTAATTTGGTATAAGAGATTTAATTTGTTACTTTCAAAGAATTTAAAATAGATCTTTTTTTTTTGGATTATTTCATTACTTAGTTCAATATACTTTTCTGTATCGTATAATTTTGTTCCCACACATTCATATATAATCAAAAAGTGAAAAACCTAATTTTAGCCGCAGAAAAATGTTAAATTACTAGAAAGAAAAAAAAAATAAAAGCAATACTTACTAAGTATTGCTTTGTGTCCTTAGCAAGCTTTTTACGTCTGAATTTGAAATCATCACGCAATTTAAAAAGCTAATTTATTATGTATAATTATCTCTAAAAGTGTATACCTTTCTAATGCATCAGGACTAGTTGTTTTTGCATCATGTATTCGACCTAATTGTATACTATTCACAAAAGATCAATTTTGTTAAACAAATTATTTTTATGGGCTTCTAACTCAAATGAAAGCGAGAATTAAGAAGACACAAGAAACAGAAAGTTGTTACGCTACATGGCCGTATGGCAATGAAGCATTTTTAATCATAATAAACTTTCAGGAGAAAGAAAACAAGAAATAAAATGTGACTTTTCTTCACTCTTGTCAAAACTCCATTGGCCTCATTAAGGTGCTAGTCATTCAAGACTCGTATATAATTTTTTTCCTATGATAATTTTGGTTAGGAAGTCAATAAGAATATGTATATTAAAAAACAGTTCACACTTTTTTTGAAATAATTTTATAGAAAGCTATGAAAATGAACATGCATAAGTGTACATTTGTTCTACGAAGAAAATAGTTATATCCTACTAAAAAACTAGTTTTTTGTAGCTTTTTTTCTTCTAACAACTCAAAAAAAAAAGAGTGATAACCAGATGCCGTATGCAAAACTTCATGCAGGAATATTGGTTAATCAATGTTCTTATATGCAGTTTTGCATGCTAAATCTGATACTGGCATTTTGAAGTCGTTAGAACAAAACAAAAAATACATAACCTTAGTTTTTTACTAGGATATAACTGTTTTCTTCATAGAAGAAATGCACAACAATGCGTGTTTATTTTGATAGCTTTTAATAAAATTATTTCAAAAGACAGTATAAACATTTTAAACTGTATACCATTGTTGACCTTGGTGGACTTTATCTGACCATGTAAAAACGGTCACAGAACAAAGTTCTCTTCGATTTTTGAATTAGTAGTATCTTAAATTAGAATACACAACATTCATCATTTATCTCTTCAACTAAAAACGTGGCATTCACTGAGCCTCCACATTTTTTTCTCAAAAAGAAAGTAAAGAAAAAGAAAAATTTGAAAATTATTCATTGATTTAGATCATAAATTATGGCTATTTTCTGATGTAATGTCACCTGTATTAAATGATAATAAAAACCAATGTAGTACTGGATGAGCTCATTTGAGAAATATCATTTTACATTTAACCAAAGTAGTTCTCTGTAAATGTCAAAAAAATTAGAAAGAAAAAGGTTATGAAATATATACGACAGTTTAAGAATCTAAGTACATATTAAAACATTTCAATTTTATAATTCTGAGCCGTTTTAGTATGCTACACTATAATTTTATCAATTGATCGGAATCATAACAAAAATATAAAGTTTATGATAATGTCAAACAAAGATGATGCTTTAGTAAAATATTTTATAAGTATTCATATGTATGGCAATCTATGGATAGCATATTACCTTAACGAGAATCTTTTGATTTAAAAGAATGTGTATATATAATGTCTGCTACAGAAAAACAAAAAGACGACAGAATTTTAGCATATGAGAGTTATGTATAAACATATTGAGATTAAACCATGAGAACGCAGGCATGTCTTGATTATGACTAAATACAGATTTACACATTGTTAGTTATTTTGTTGCATATGATTAAATGATTAACAAATGATGTTTATGTTTTCTGTCGGCCTAATAGAATGATAATAGAAATCTTCATTTTTATTTTCTATAGAACGAAATGACACAGACAGTTATTTATATAATAACTATAATTGATGTTAATATCAAGAAAAATATTATGAATATTTATGTATTATTGCCAATGTGATTGAGAAATTTAATGTTTTTGCTTTATTATATTAGTAAAATTAGTCGAACTCGAATACTACGACTAATAATTGATTATTTTTACGGTTGATTATATAGGAGAAAAGAAAAAAGCAACTGAATTTGACATTATATATTAGAAGGTTTTGTCAACCGATTATCATTTTCCGATAGAAAGATTTTCTTCTAATGATGAAAACTTACATAACATTTAGTGAAGAGTATTTTAATAATATAATGACTATTCAATAATCTTATTTGTTTTGTAATTCCTGAAAACAAAAAGTGTTTTGTATATATTATGTAAATTTGTCAAGTACTATGAACTAATAGTACTGTTTGGTCCTAGAAATTAATTTTTTTTTCCTATATAAAATTTATTGTGATGTGACATGTATTGTTGGCCTTTGCTGCAGAATGCCTTCGGTTTAATGTTTTATTACATTCTTAAAATAGAAGAAAGATTAATTTTGTTCTATACTACCTTAAGATTAAGTAGAGCTTTTTTTTATTAGAATCATCGATTTCTAATAGGACTTTGAAGAATATTTCTAGGAATATATACTTTTATAATATCATATAATCCAAAGATGTATTGTGAAATCACAGCTTCTTAATAAAAAAAGATAATCATATATATATCCTCATAATTTTATAGAAGGATGAATATTTTCATAATTAATGTCTTCTACCCCTTTTGTCACTTGGAAAGGTCTTCGTATATTACTATTATATCAAAAGAAAATATAACCGGTCAGTGACAACAGCACACTATCTTATACTAGTAATCTCTAAACTATTGAAATTCACAATGCTACACACCTTATTACTTAAAATCTTATATAACAATAGTTTAAGTTTAATTCAGGTCTATCAGGACAGTCTGTTGAAAAGAACATCTTCTCTTGAAATTATGCTAATAGACAGTTAATGCTATCCAATAACTCAAATCTAATTAGAAATGACGTAAAAAGAAGTAAGAGAAAATATTCTTACTATGCATGCATATCAGTTACAGAAAACATTAGTTGACAAGATATATCTTCATGTCAGAAACCTGACAGCGAATGACAACAACATCAAGCATCAATTAAAAAATAAGCGCATATTGTTCGTGTGGGTCATAACAGCATTTGATTTTTTTAGTACTAATGTATAGCCATAGCTGTTTACCCAATAAATTGACTCTGTACACTAATAAATAAATAAGCTACTCTTAAGCATAAACATGATACTTATATGTAAATGTTGACAAGATTATTTTCGCGTCGTACACCATATCTTCAAGTAAAAAGAAAATAAATAGTTTTCGTTTCCATAGAAGTCTACATAATTAGAAGGAACGTCATTTACTTCTGAAACGTATACTGGTGATCAACTATTAATGTGAAAGTAAAAAAATTCCTTCGAAGAAAAATTTATTTTTAAGAAAAGCTTACTTTTACTTACATTTTTCTGATGTATACTTCTCTGCTGTTAGTAACCATATTTTTTTTCCTTATTTCAAAATTTCTACATGACAGATGTGCTTTTTCATTAGTCTCGAGAACTAATTTTATAGGCGATGTGGCTTGACTGAAAGGAAGAATCTCTTCATATTCATAGAAGAAAAAGAAATTTTAATATTATCAACTTCGTATATTATTAAAAAAAAAATTTTTCCTTGTCTACAAACTAAACAAATTTATACTTTGAATAGATTCTGATTCTAACGACAATGTAGTTGTGACTAAATAAAGATGGGCGTATATTATTTAGAAAAAAACGGCACCATATATGTTTCTAAAAGAAAGGCATTCAGATATATCCTTATCAAGAGCTTATTAATAAAATATACAAATCAATAAAGAAGTGATTCGTAATTGCATTTAGAGATGCCTTGTCATGCAAGTCAATATTTTTACATAATACAAATAACTAAGGTTGATGATAACTAAATATAGAATATAGATATTATTGACCGAAGTTTGTGAACATCAGTGCTTTTTAAGTTTTAAAAAACGTCGTTGATACCAAAATTCCGTAGGCATTTTGAATTCTTTTGAAAGATATATAAATACAAATATATATATATGACAAGATCTGTGAAGAATCATTTTCTTTTGTTCCGGAAAGGTTTAGTGTATCTAAAATGAGCTAGAGGAACCATTTACTACCATATTTGGTTAAATGAATATAAAAAAGAAAGACTTTATCATAATAACTGTGAAAATATCACGGAAAAATTATCGTAAAATGCGTAAATTGTTGATAATGTCCACCTTGATATATTTCAATGAAGCTGCTACTATCAATTATATACAAAGTCATATACATTTGTCAGAAACTCTTTTCTTTTCATATGCTAATGAACATGAATTAGTTTATAACAACCATACAGAAAATGAATATTTTACTTTTAAAACCAATAGTTTTTTTTATGAAAAATTTCTTTGATTATTCTAAGCGAGAAAATTCTTACTGTGCTTTTG